TCGGCTTTATATCGGCCATCGGCCACCATGCTTTCCAAGATATCGGCATCAGCATCAGCTGTCAAAAAACCAATATCGGTCGACCATTAATTGTAAATGGCCTTATTTGCCATACCTATAGGTAGTCGTCTCTCAGTTCCTCAAAATACAGTACATGTAAGAAGTACTTGGCTACAAATCAATTTGACATTTACGAGTTTGAGGGTGTACAACATGCTACAGTATTTACAGTACATAGAATAGAAATGTTCTCTCATCTAAAGTATTGCTACTACTGTACTTATACTGTATGTGTAAGTAGTATAAAAACCCTGTAGGCCAACTTCCTTCATGGTCATTCCATGCACAAGAAAATGTGTCTTTGTTTCGAGAACTAAATGAATGGTTTGGGAAATTGGGCAAAATGAATCCGTTATAGTGTGTTAGCAATCAAGAAAAAACTGTAATATGAAATATGAGCCTTATATGCATTCATTGTGGACACTTCTGTACAAGGGAGAAGAACATGAATTATCATATGTTTACTTGAAATTTCTTTAAAGAGAAATATTATTTTGCTTATTTTTACCCAAATAGGATGGAATGAGCATTACTGAGCGTTAAAGACATTTATACTCGTAGCCAGAAGAAAACTCTACATATGGATCACAGAAGTAATAGAACTTCCAGGAAATTCCTAATATGGATAAAGGCATCCAGCTATCGCTGTACGTAATAAAAGGAAGATAGAAACATTTAGACAACATATAGTTTATGTTCTTCAAGCCATTTCGGGTGTTTTCATAATAATGGAGTGCATTTATAATGCATTGCTAATCTAAATATCCTTTATAACATTATAGAATATATTTTCTGCCTCATTCTGTGATAAGGAAGCTACATCACAAAATTAAGTTTTTAAAAAAATGTTCGACTTGCGTTGTGGAATAAAACCATGTTATTAAATGTTCTCTTTTGTTAGACAACAGGCTTATAAATGCTTCTCATTACAAATTTGGAAAGATGCGTTGCTTCTGTTGAGTTGTTATAAGCAACTTGAACTAACAGTGCTTGCAGAGATGGAGCAGCATTTACTACTGATTCTGTGCATATATTTATTTAATTAAAAATCACAACCTTTGCCATTTCAGTAAGCGCATTAATCCAAATCATGATTTCCATTTTATTCTGATTAATCGTTTAGCCCTCTTCCAGCTTTCAGTACACTTCAACATATTGAATGGTCCACACTTGCTTCCCTCACAGCGTCATTTCTATCTTTGGATACTCTATTGCATTCAGTAATTATATTGTGCAGCCAGTCCAGCCAATACAGTCTGGCATGTCAGCATGATGTATTTCTGCCTGTCTGCAAGCAACATCGATCCTCTTTGTTTAAACAAACTCACAATAATACTCAGAAAACCTAATACGCAAACTCTGCTAAGCCTCATTCGAAGCTTTTGTGTACCTCTTTAACAGTCATGTACTTTTAAGTTTTAGTTTCATTAATGAAAATCATGGCTTGATTTCAGTTAATTAAAAGTTTTGCAATCTTGCTAATAAATACTCATTGCCTTGTTGTCTTTGTATTTTGACTATATGGTAATTAGTTACATAGCAACATGATTAGAGGATCTTGTATGCATTCAAATCAAGCATTTTTTCAGCTTCCTGTCATTGTAGGAATGTGCAAAAGCTACAAATGTTCATAATGTTCACAAAGTCAGTCTATAGAAACCTCTGTATAATATGGCTGTAGCATGTCAACTAGACCCCAATCAGAGGCATTTCTTTGCAGTAAATTCATACCAAGACCTTCAAGAGGGTAACTAGTAGATATTCAAATAATAAACAGACTGCACAAAACTGTCTGTGCTTATAAGAAAGGGTCCGGCACAAAATCACATATTCACTAATGTTGTGTATCTCAGTTGTTTGAGAATTGTAAGCTTGCCATTAAAATACTGAACTCACTAATCATTTGTTGGATGACTACTAGCTCATCCCAGCCTCGCATGATATTTCCCATTGATATGATTTGTGCACTTTGTGTGACTGAATAAAGTAATGTCTGTACACGTGCAGAACTGTGACCGATTTATGTGGGAGAATTCGAAACTACATTTGCATGTGTGAAGTCTAAAACAGATTTCCTTTTGTGAATTGGAATGCTAGATCTTGTATTCACAGCTGGAAATGATCATCGTTGTCACATTGACAGGTTCCAAACCTGTATGACTTTCTTTTTCCATGGAACATAAGCGGCAATATTCCGTACAGCAGATGATAGTGAAACACAACCTTGAAAGCCTTTGCACCTGTTTTCCATAAATTGCAAATGGATGATGGCCTAATGTTGTCTTACCTATTTTGTGTGGCATGGAAGAAAGTCATACAGGTTTTGAATGACATGTGGGTGAGTAAATGATGACAGAATTTATCTTAAAATTGCATACAAAATATGGAAGAAGCCAAAACCAAACAAATATACAACCCATGACCTGACAAAATCTTGTCAATTGTTTTTGTTATACCAGTGGCTGCATATAATTCAATACATTTGCATCACTTTTACACAACCTGTATGATTGTTTAAATGTCGTATTTAACAAATTAACTAATTTGCATTAAGGAGCCCTTGAAATATGTGACCCTGGAGCACAAAAGCAGTCTTAAGTCGCTGGGGTATATTTGTAGCAATAGCCAAAAAAACATTGTATGGGTCAAAATTATCCATTTTTTATTTATGCCAAAAATCATTAGGATATTAAGTAAAGATCATGTTCCATGAAGATATCTTGTACATTTCCTACCGTAAATATATCAAAACTTCAGTTTTGATTAGTAATATGCATTGCTAAGAACTTCATTTGGACAACTTTAAAGATGATTTTCGCAATATTTAATTTTTTTTGCACCCTCAGATTCCAGATTTTCAAATAGTTGTGTCTCGGCCAAATATTGTTCTATCCTAACAAACCATACATCAATGGAAAGCTTATTTATTCAGCTTTCAGATGATGTATAAATCTCAATTTCAAAAAATTGACCCTTATGACTGGTTTTGTGGTCCAGGGTCACATATGAATCATTAGCATTACATTAGTTGACTGTAAGCTCTGTTGTACACATCACCTTATTATGAAATGCAGCATTGAAAAACTGTATAACTTCAGATAAAAAAATTCATGATGATCTGCTGAAATCTGGTATCCATCTTGAGATGATCGGCATTGTCTGATAACTAACACATCGATTAACAGAAGCATCATCTTCACTTTGTTCATTTGAAAGTCTTTTGCCAGCTCTGTCAATGGATTGTAAACATTTCTATTTAAAAAAATAATAATATTAAAGTATTTTAGTAAATATCGTGTACAATAGTTTTTCATTCATTTGTAATATGTTGTAATATATTGACATTATATCAGCCTTAGGCCACCCTGCTCTCTAAGTGTCAACATTCGCATTGGCCACTGAAAAACCCATATTGGTCAACCACTACTTCCAGTGGTACGACTCTGGTAATGTCTTTTTGAGAATTGTTGGCTGTCCAAAAGTATTATGCACTATTTCAGAGGCGATATATACAGATCAGCTTGTGGATATCTACACTAGTCAACATTTGAAGTGGATCAAAACCTTTCATCAAAGTTATTCTATAACCTAACACCAACATGTGTTCTTGTCTTAGGACAACTTTGAACTTTTTTGTTCCACTTCAAATGTTGACTACTATAGTTACTGTGTACACTTTACACTTCTCAATTCTGATTTATTGCTCGGATCAGTTTTTCCCCCTACACTGATAACGTTACTTTTTAAAATTCGGCCAGTATCAGATTCAATAAAGCAATAAGTCCCGTGAAGCCGTGGTTTACAGTGAATTTATAACAGCTAAGGGGGTTTTAGGCACGACGTGACAACACCCCTTAGCTGTTATAAATTCACTGTAAACCACCGTTTCACGGGGCTTATTGCTTTTATAAAACGGTTATTCCATATACGCAGTAAGGTTTCACAGAATAAAACGGAGCAAATAAAGTGTAATGATAATAAAAACATTATTCTTCCACCAAACAATGTAGTTCCTCAGAAACGGCTGTGGTTCCAACAAAGTGGTTGCCGAGCAACACACAGAAGTAAACAAAGGTGTATGTTTGTAGTGTAATTTACAACAGCTTTGAACGCGGCTCAGCCAATCAGAATCAAGCACCGGAACTCTCCGTTCTATAAGTGTGAACTAATCACGGTCCTGAACTGACACGCATACACAAAAACAATAACAAAGACGGCACACTGTCATACGGAAGTAAACATAGAGGTCACTGAAGTCAGTGTTTACGTTCATTTATAAGATGATGTGACGTGGAATCCAGCTAATTTGTGCACAGGTGATGAGGAGGACGAAGACAGGATAATAATATTTAAATATCTACAAAATAATTCCTCAAGTTTTGCTAGTATAGCCGTCTCAACGTAATATCTGCTGTATACATCTCGCTGTCCCTTTACTGTCTAGCAGCTGTTATGACCAAAGAGCAGGTTAAGATATATTTGAAAGATCATTTTGTTTCCCCAGTAGACCCAAATTGTCTTCATATCCTTTGTTTTGATTTGTGTGTGTAAATCGATTTTTCTCATGTATTTGTGATGTAACTATAAAGCATGGAGAAAGAAGAAGTTCCAACAAATCCTTTCACTGTTTCACTAGAAGACACAAAGACTCTGGATGTTCGTACATTCTACATGTCCTTCTGCTAAGGAATGCATGTTGCTTTGTTCGTTTTCTCTACCATGTCTGTTTCCTTTGGGTTAACTGAAACAACAGCTCTGGCACAAATGCATGCAAACAGAGGAACTGACTTCCTGCTGATATTTAAATGCGACGTGTAGGGTGTTGAACTCCGCTGTAGGGACAGGCCTGATAGAAAATAACCCCTACACTGTCTGTCTGTCTGACAGGTCTGGGTAAAAGTGTTTCAAAATAAGTGAGCTCTCTCTGTCTCTGTTCACAGATATTGCAGTGGTTGAAATGACGGATGCATTTCGGCAGCCCTCTCTCTTCTATCACTTGGGTGTGAGAGAGAGTTTCAGCATGGTCAACAACATCATTCTTTACTGTGATCTCAACTCAGACTCGCTGCACTCTCTTCAGGTCAGAAAGTCTTTTGTCTCAGTGTCACCCGAGTCAAGAATCAAATTAGTAGGGTTGCAAAAAGGTGGAAAATTTCCAGTAAATTTCGGGAAATTTTTGGAAACTTTCCAGGATTTTTGGGAATATTCCAGGTATTTTTCGAAAGTTACCGGAAATTTTCCACCCCTTTGCAACCCTACAAATTAGTCAAATTTAAACGGAAAGGGTCATTTTTTCAGCATCTTACTTTTCATAATGTTCCAGTCTGAAGTTTAGAGACCAAAAATATTAGAGGTTGCCACACTATTTTTTCCCATATCATAAAATATCAAAATTTGTCACTGTATCCATTTACCAAAAATTGTTGATATTGATCGAAGAATGTCCATTATGTGGATATGTGTTGTATGAGAAAAAAAAGATAGAAGATGAACAAATAGCTTTTGTGTTGGAGTTGGCAGCCATTATAGACAAACCTCATGCATCCAGGCTGATAAAAAAAAAACTAAAATCTTTGATAGGATGTTGGTGAAGGTCCATGTCTTGCTTCTCAAAATCAATGTAAGCAAGTGCATCATGGTGTGTTGCACATACATTTATTGTAATATACATTTACATTGGGCTAGTAGGAGAAACGCTGAATGTTGTAAGCATAACGATGCTCACAAATTTATTGGATGGACTCAAATTATTAATACAACCCACATTATTTGCAGTGCATCACTTCCAACAGTTTCATCACAATGATATACTGTAGGTTTTTATTACCACAGTGAATTGTAGGCAGGTTTTATTGTCATGGAGATCCTTCCTGGCAAGGTCACACACCTCTGTTATTACTTTACATTGGAAGTATGCCAGGTGAGTGGGGAGTAAATTGCATAATATAAGATATATTTAGATGAGTTCTTTAAGGCAGTGATTTTATTACTAGGCAGAATTTAGTGGAGGATGGTGCTTGGCAAACACACACGCACACAGATGTAAATGAAGTGCATTGCATAGGAATTGCAGTTTCAGGAAACACTCTACAATATGCATCGATAACGTTTTTACCAGTAGCATGCTACATTGTTGAAGAATCGTGATGTTATTACAGTGAATGTTTAATTCACCGTGTCCAGTTTATCTTAAATAAAAAGCAGCTACAAACGGAGTTGCAGAACAGGCATTAAAGGGGTCATATGATGCTATTTTAAAGATCATTATTTTGTGTATTTGGTGTAATGTGGCTGACTCTTAACTTTTATAAAGAATATCTCTTTGGATTTGAGACTTTAGTCTTTGCAACTTTACGGATCTTATCTATGCACAATCGGCTTGTAACACTCCAAAGAGAAAGGAAAACTTGAAATCGCATCATATGACCCCTTTAATTTTAAAACATCTCTTAAGGATGTCAGCCAAACAAGGGCTTGTTGTTTTTCTCTGCAAATTAAACTGGTATAGGAGAAATTATTTTTAAATCAAAAATGATGCAGTGCTTTAAAAGTTCAATGAAACAACCCGGCAAGAAAAAGGTATTGAAAGTAATAGTGATCACGCTTGATTTATTGTTGTAAATGGAAATGGATGGCCAAGTTGAGCAAAAGGCACCTTGCATACTCAACAGAAACAGAATAGAGAACTAAAACCAGTATAGTGTTCTGAACATGGTCACACACACACGGTTATTCAAAATCTTCAGACACCGTATGTTCTTTAGGATGATTGTGATAGAATTCAGTCCTAAAAAAAAAAGAACTGGTCGTTTATACCACCTGAATTCATTTGCGTCTGCTGTTCGTCTCATACAGGAGGTGATATGTCAGAAGAATATGGTAAGTCTTAATCTTTACTTCCTCTCTGCTGCATGTTCATTTGCTGTCATTTTCAAACAGAAAGAAGAAAGTCTTTGTTTGCCTCATTTCGTAAGTTTGTGCTGTTATTCATGTAGGTTAATCGGTTTGATTGCAAACCTGAAAACGTGGAAAAAGAAAACTTCATTTTTATGTCTGGTTATATAATGTTATAGGAGATAAGCAATTTGACAGACATGATTGGTGTTTGAGACTTTTGCAAAAAGCTTTGTTGTAGGATTTTATAATTAGGTACAAAAATTGTTTTAGCCAACAAAATAATTAGGGGCATGATAACTCGTAGAAGTTTATGAGTTAACTTCAGGAGATTTGTGAGATATGAAATACAATGATAAACCGTAGGAGGCCAAGAAAACATAGGTTTTTTTTTCTCCTGCTGTCCACAACCCAGAAAATACTTTTGACCCATTTTTGGGGCATGGTATACCTGCTTACTATTTATTTATTCATCAGTGTTAATTTTCACTGTGGATATTTGCTCTTCTTCCAGACATGTGCCGCTAACTACACGTTCATCCCATACATGGTGACGCCTCAGAATAAGGTGTATTGCTGTGAGAGCAGTCTGATGAAGGGTTTGAGTGAACTGATGCAGCCCAGCTTTGAGGCCCTGCTGGGGCCCATCTGTATGCCACTGCTGGACAGACTCACTCAACTGCTCACCAGCTGCAAGACCAACACCTGGTGGGAACTCACTACCTCCTTTATCTCCTCGCTTCTCATTGTCATCTCACAGCTAACTGAAAGTCATTTATAGCAGTAATACAACAGCCATGAACAGAATGACACATGATATGGTTTAAAATTTTGGTCATATCGCCCACCCTTAAGTATTATTTGTATATTGTTTTTCACATTGTTTCAGTTCCAGTTCATATATATATATGTGACCCTGCAGCACAAAAGCAGTCTTAAGTCGCTGGGGTATATTTGTAGCAATAGCCAACAATACATTGTATGGGTCGTCACAAATACTGTTAATGGTTCTAATACCTATAATGACATATAGTCCACACTGAACAATTGAGAGGTCAGCAATAAAATAGCATACATTTTGGTGATGATATCAACACTCAACCAGTTGAAATTTGCTATATTGTAAATATTAGTTCATGTAAGTATTATTATCAGGTAAAAGTTGCATAATAGTTTTCAAGTGAAGTTTGTAAATTATTTCTGCAGCTCTAAAAGTATATAGCAATGCCAATGTCATGGGTTTGATTCCCATGGGATGCATAAACTGAGAAGATGTATAACTTAAATGCTGTGTAAGTGGCTTTGGATAAAAGCGCCTACCAAATGTAAATGCAATCTAGGGTTCCGGTTTTAATTTAGAACATTTAGATTTTTAGCCACAGTTACAGCTAGGTGAGGTGTATCTCTGTCATGAACAGAATGACGCATGATATGGTTTAAGATTTTGGTCATATCGCCCACCCTTAAGTAGTTTCATCAGTAAGTTTGAATGTCATGCCATAATGCCATAATAATTTAGACGAGGCTAATGCGAGAGACAAGACAGACATGCACAGTGTTTAATACCAGACTTTACAATAAAGTTTAGGTATCTACCAACTATTCAGCATTGACAAAATGACAAACCCGGTCACACACTGGACAAGAAGCACCACAATGCAGGACAACTCAAAGATTTCATATCGGACATGGAGCGTGTCTTTCTGTACTCGTGTCCTCAAGTTCAGGACACCAGTCCTCGACAGTGAATCTAATCACCATACAGGCAATAATTAATTTAACAATAAATGACCAAAGTGGCATCAATGAATGTTTGGTGTTTGAAAAAGCAGTGCAAATGGAAAGTATGAGCTGTGTTATGATATTTGTCTATATGAAGTCTATATATTTTATTCAAACCACATATTAATGAAAAATATTTTTTTAATTTAATGTAAAACTGTGAGTGGTGCTCTGTGGCTTGGCAAGATTTTGAATAGAGCTGTAAGTGCTGTCACATTGTAGGAGCATGACCCACATTTGCTGACTATAACTATACTGTTAATAATAATGCTATGAAATGAATGTTTTCAAAATAGTTTGAATATTGAAATATACAAAGTCACTGTCTTATTAAGATGGTCTTTGAGACATTCATTTAACCAATTCATTCAATCGTCTGATTTATTCAGGAGCAAGTATTAATGAATGGCTCATTGAATTGATTTGTTCAGAAACGCTGATGTATTCAGGAACGAAACACCACTCTTGTTTTGCTTGGGGTCGCACAGCCATTCTGTGATTGCTTTGTTTGGAACTATTTTTGTTGGCGAAATAAAGCGAAAAGAGACATTATTAAAAGTACTGTGCTTTTGTGTGCTTAACTATGTCATATAGAAATGTAAGACAAACTTATACAGGGGCATTTTTGCCCCTATGTATTGAAATTTAGGGTCATTATATACTGAATATACTGGTAGCCATCAGTGGAGATATCAGTGCATATACTGCCCATACTAATCAACTTTGGGGCTGAAATGTGGTTCCTAAAATTGTGTGCTTAGTGTGAGTTTATGATAATAACTTCTGTGAATCTGCCATGTGTATTTCCATTCTTGCATAGTTCAGTAACTTTTCTTTTTGTCTCTTTTGTGTGCTTGTTTAGCCAGTACTTCCGTGAGACTGTTCTGAATGAGATTCGTAAAGCGCGAGAGCTTTACACCGGAGCAGAGCTAGCGGCTGAGCTCAGACGGATCCAGCAGCGGCTCGATAATGTCGAGTGTCTTTCAGCTGATGTCGTCATCAACCTCCTTCTGTCATACAGAGATATTCAGGTGACTGCATCACATAAACTTTTGGTTGTTATTCACAGTGACTGCAAAATATTATTCATCACAATTCTGTTTAATTTTAAAGGTTTTCTTTATGCAAAACGTGTATGCATTGGTGAAACGAGTGAAGGGAGAATGTTATTGGTTGATTTAGGTCACACGTTAACAGGATGTGCCTGTATCAAGTTAAAGTTGATGTTTGTAATTTTTCAAATCTTGCAGTACTGCTCATTATGTGGACACAGTCATAAGCCATTCATAGGTTGAAGTCTCTTACAATGGAAGTCTATGGGGCAAGACATTGTGCTGTGACAAACACCTAAATGAACACAGTTTTGTAAATATTATTCAAGTGTCTAACGGGTTCATTGTGTCCACATTTTGCCTACAAATGACACCATGACACTTTGCGTGAATTATGGGAGTAACTTCTGTTAAACTGTAAACATTCAGCAACTTCTATTTCTGTGAATCTGCCATGTGTATTTCCATTCTTGCATAGTTCAGTAACTTTTCTTTTTGTCTCTTTTGTGTGCTTGTTTAGCCAGTACTTCCGTGAGACTGTTCTGAATGAGATTCGTAAAGCGCGAGAGCTTTACACCGGAGCAGAGCTAGCGGCTGAGCTCAGACGGATCCAGCAGCGGCTCGATAATGTCGAGTGTCTTTCAGCTGATGTCGTCATCAACCTCCTTCTGTCATACAGAGATATTCAGGTGACTGCATCACATAAACTTTTGGTTGTTATTCACAGTGACTGCAAAATATTATTCATCACAATTCTGTTTAATTTTAAAGGTTTTCTTTATGCAAAACGTGTATGCATTGGTGAAACGAGTGAAGGGAGAATGTTATTGGTTGATTTAGGTCACACGTTAACAGGATGTGCCTGTATCAAGTTAAAGTTGATGTTTGTAATTTTTCAAATCTTGCAGTACTGCTCATTATGTGGACACAGTCATAAGCCATTCATAGGTTGAAGTCTCTTACAATGGAAGTCTATGGGGCAAGACATTGTGCTGTGACAAACACCTAAATGAACACAGTTTTGTAAATATTATTCAAGTGTCTAACGGGTTCATTGTGTCCACATTTTGCCTACAAATGACACTTTGTGTGAATTATGGAAGTAACTTCTGTTAAACTGTAAACATTCAGCAACTTCTATTAAACTTGTTAGGTTCAGTCTTTTCACTCCTCAACCGTTAAAAACTTAAAAGTCTAAAAAAATACTTTCAGAAGGCTATGAATAACCCCAAAAGCTCAAATGAACGAGTCTTTCAGTAGCGATATATAATGGATGTTAAATATTATATGCACGTTTATGTAGCATGCATGTTGTGTAAATCCAAACTTTATCATTAACTGTAACGCGGGAGGGGGGGGGGTGATTAAGCTTTATAGTGAGGTTTTGGGGACACAAACAGGAGAGCAGGCCACAACTGCACAGTGTCCGCTGTTTTTTTCTTCTTAGAAATACATCGAAATGCAAAGAAAAAAGAAAAGAATCAGAAGGACCAGAACACAACTGATCTTACTGAAAAGAGATGCTGTCAAAGATTTTGTCACTGCATTCAGTGTCACATTAAAATACTAAGTGTTTTTTTATTGTCCTGATGTTTAATAATAGAGCAAATGGAGTTCTTATTTGTGACCCTGGACCACAAAACCAGTCACAAGGGTCAATTTTTCGAAATTGAGATGTATGCATCATATAAAAGCTGAATAAATAATCTTTCCATTGATGTATGGTTTGTTAGGATAGGACAATATTTGGCTGAGATACAACTATTGGTCACATTTGAGTATGATTTGTTTCAGGCATTTTGGGTGGAAGCTCCGTAAACCAGAAGTGCCACCCATAACTTAAGACACAGTAGACTCGTTTATAAAAGGTGGATTGGCGAAGGGAAAAAAGGTCTGGGTTGCAGAGCAGCTGGAAAAACATGTGCTTCCTTAACAAAAACCGAAAACATATATGAAAACCAGGACAAGGGGTTTTAAACGTGGCGACCCACTGGTTAGGCAGGATCCAAGTACACACACTGCCAGCACACTCTTCTGTCTGGATCTCTCTCATCCCATCTCTCAGCAGCAGTGGGGTTTTATACTCTCTCTCCTCACTGCAAAAGTGATAACACCTGTTAGTTCTCATTAACAAGCATTCCCTTACCAGCAGGGTCTCTCAAGCTCTCTCTCCGCCACAACGGGTTAACATGAGACTACTGTGATAAGAATTGTTTACTTTGTCTGTGCAAATGTACATCCAATATTTAAACTCCTGTCACGACCATGAAAAGATGGTACACCTTGTAAATGATGCATGTTATGTGCAGAGATATGTGTCCATAAAAACACTGTTTACTTGGAGTGCACTCCACCCTCAGGAATTGCATCAGTAACACATAACCTGAGGTGTATCAGCGGCAAACACAGTGCTCCCTATATAAACACGTTTGTTCTGAAAAGCTGATGCTTTAACCAAGATGCAAGATGCTCATTTCTGCTTTTTAACGTCCGGAATGTCTTGCCCCAAATGCTTTCACTTTGAGTGTTTGATTTTTCAAACTGAAGGATGAGTAGAAATCATTTTCTGTAGTAATCAACAGCATGCTACAGCTTAATTTGTATTGAACCTGGAATGTTCTATTAATCCACGACCGTGATGGTTAAGGTCCATTTCCTAAAATGTTAGCATGATTTGCTCTGATTAAAGTAGCCCATGAAATATTAAATATAGCAAAAAATGTTAGTTATAGAACGGAGAGTTCCGGTGCTTGATTCTGATTGGCTGAGCCAAGTTCGAAGCTGTTGTAAATTACTCTACAAAGTCTTCTTTGAAGCTCCCTATGAAATAACAAGAGAGAAAATACTGTCAAGTTCAACAGTATAATGAATTAACATCAAATCTGATACTTTAACCTGTTAACTTAAGTACCCGTATTTTAATCTCTTTAACCTATAGTTGCGCCGGCGCCAATGAAGTCATGCAGTTAACGCGCTTCTAATTCAGTATTAATGTGCACCCAGAACGACCGCAGATGAGGCATTAAGTGCATGGCACTGCGACCAACTTTACATTTTACAGAGTTTAATGTGGTCGCTCAGTTTTAATCGTGTAATAGATTTGAACAAAGAAATTAGTGTTGGGTCGTTCTTGAACGATTCGTTCATTTTGAACAAATCTTTAATGTGACTCGGGAAGAACGAGTCGTCTCGGGGAGTGATTCGTTCAGTCGCGCATGCGCAACATCCTATAGGTTCTGCCCTGGAATTAGTCAAGTAGTTCACCAGGTTCGAGTCTTCGGGTTTTTCCGAGTCGTTCGTTCATCACGTGACAGCCCCATAAGCTTAACCAATGCAGTCTGAGCCGGAAAGAGAATTGATTAGTTCATCTCTCGAGTCTTCGGGTTTGAGTCGTTCGTTCATCACGTGACAGCCCCATAAGCCCAAACCCGAAGACTTGTCAGATAAGAGGTG